CTGGCGATCTGGAGAGAAGTGTACCAAGATCGGCGCAGACGTAAACAGGGTTTTGAGTTTTTCGAAGGCTGCTTGGGCCATCATAGACCAGACAAAGTTCTTAGCATCACCCCTGAGACAATCGGTAATGGGTTTACAGACCCCGGAGAAATTGTGGATAAACCTTCTGTAGAAGTTTGCAAAGCCCATGAAGATCTGTACTTCCTTAACGCTGCGCGGGGCTTGCCAATTCGTAACAGACATAACCTTATCCAGTGCCATGGTGACGCCTGCTGGGGCAAGGATGTATCCGAGGAACTCGATTTCGGTGAGCTCGAAGAACGATTTCTTCGGCTTGGCGACCAGATTGTATTCTTGTAGCCTACTAAGGACTTTGCCGACCAACTCTCTGTGCTCCTCTCGAGACTTGCTATATATTAGGATATCATCAAGATATACTACTACACCTTGATCCAAGAATTCCCTCAGCGCATCATTCATCATGTTCTGGAAGGTCGCCGGCGCATTTGCCAGCCCAAAAGGCATGACGAGGTACTCAAAATGTCCATACCGCGTACGGAAGGCTGTCTTCCACTCGTCGCCGTCTTTGATCCTGATGAGGTTGTAACCTTCCTTCAGGTCAATCTTCGAGAAGATAACCGCGCCTGCCACTCGATCTCGCAGTTCGTCCATAAGCGGTAACGGATACCTGTTCTTAATGGACACACGGTTAAGTCCACGGTAGTCAACGCAAAGTCGCAGACTACCGTCCTTCTTCTTCACAAATAGGATTGGGGCTCCTGCTGGGGATTTGCTCGGCTGAATCTTTCCCAATCGCAGCATTTTATCCAGGTACTCCCTAAGCACCTTCAGTTCGACTTCGGATAGGGAGTAAACGGGTCCCCATGGTGGCTGCTTCCCCGGTTCAAGATCTATCGCGTGGTCGTAAGATCGATGCGGTGGTAATTTATCTGCTTCCGATGGTAGGAAGACTTTAAGGAACCCATGGAGCCAAGAGGGAAGAGTTTCGCGGAGGTTAACCGATTCATCTTCCAAAAGACAAATACTACCGATGAATTGGGCCTCCGGATCGTCTAGTACTCCCTCGTCCATTTCTATTTGAGGTTCCTTGTCAGTGAAGCATCGACTCTTACAGTTCTCGCCATCGTAGGAAACTTCCCCATTTGCCTCTATAACCGGTTTGTGTTCTTTCAACCACCAGTTCGGTAGTATCGCGTCGATGCCAAGTGGGAGTGGGGCGATCTCGAATGACAACTGTGTTTGATGCCCCCTTGACATTATAATTAATGGTTGTGTAAAGGCGTGTCCCGTGCCCTTCATAACTTGTCCCGTAAATCCAAATACCCGGGCCGGGACGTCTCGTTTCACCTTCGGGACCTCAAAACTATCAACAAAAACAGCAGACAAAACAGGACCAGTTGCACCAGTATCCAACAACACCTTACAAGGTAAACATTTTTTCGCAAAACAAAGGAACTGATTAACGATAGGTCGAGGACCGTGAATAGGTTCCTCCAAACCTTTCTGTTTTTTCTCCGGTCGGGACGCTCTCCCTTCCTGCCTTTTTCTTTTCATATTTTTTTTGTTGTTTTCCGTCAGTGATAACATAGCAATCTGGGGGTACTCCTGACCTGACTCATCCGAGTCCCCTTTTAAAAATCCTCGTCGAAATCCATCTCAGATTCCGATCCGCGTTCTTGCACAAACGCTTGCCCACTGGTGTACTCAGCAGCAGCCGTAGCAGCCGGCTTTCTAGCGCGGTGCCTCATACGCTTTCTCTGAGGTTGGGGTTCCGGTGGTTCCATATCGTGGTCGCCATCGTCATCGCGGGTACGCTTTCGGGAGAAAGAGGAGATAGATGCACTGCTGTTAGCATCTGAACGACACCATTTCCAAAGATGACCCTTTCGGCCACATCGTACACAGGCTCCATCGGTCTTTCGCTGCTCTCGGACCGGCTGTGGAACTCCTTTGGTGGCTTCGTCGTAGTCGTGGTATATTGGCTTATTCCCCGACTTGTGCTTGCTGGTGCTCTTCTTATCTTGCCCTTTTTCTTTCTCCTCAGTCTGAGCCCTCCCCTTGATTTTAAACCCCTTCTCCTTTTGCCGCGAGTTCCCACCATTATTCGTCTCCCTTCCTCTCGACTCCGCTTTCCCCAACATTTTCATCTGCTCTTGATAAGCCTCGTGAGCCTTGCCGGCTCGTTCCAACTGTTGGATGTACTCGGAGTCGTAATCGGTTGGATCGAAGCGTGAGTGGCGTTCTCGGATTTCATTTGGTAGCCCTTGGAGCAGGGCGGCACGGTAGGATGCTCCTTTCATCTGAGCATGCTGGTTCATGATCTCCATCCTCGTCAGGTAGTCTCCGATGTTCGCAGAGTACTTAAACTGCTGCATCTTCATCGCATTTTCCATAGCCTCCTGAGTACTTAAGAAGCGTTTTCTGATCTCCTGACGGAAACGGGTCCAAGTAGCGTAGTCCGCGGCTGCCGGTCCTAGCATCTTGGTCTCGATATATTCCATAAACCATTCCTTTGCCAACCCACACGTATACGTCCCAGCGAACAGTACCTTGTTCCTATCCGTTCGGAACTTCTTGGGCTTCTGCTCGAAGTAGATCTCGCACTCCATGAGCCAATGCCGCAGGTTATGCTTCCTGGCATTATCGAACTCAAAGGGTATTTTGGCGAGCGAATCTACCATATCCTCGTCTTCAGGCGGCGCCGAATTCCGGTTCCCGCCTCGGTTCGTTCTCCAGTTCTTTCGACCGTGTGACCATTCACTGTTGTCGTCGTCATCGTCGTCGGAAGGTTCCGGGTCTCCCCCAACATTTCCTCTTGGTGGGTTCTGGGGAGGTTGATTTCCACCATTCCCGCCAACGGGGGCAGCTCTCACCGGTTTCCTGCCACTATTTCCCTGCACTGGGCCGGCATCCTCCGGTCGCCTGCCTCCATTTCCTCCTACGGGACCAGCGTTTCCCCCTGCTGGGCCAGCGTTTTCGGGGTTCTTGCCATTGCCAACAGGAACCGTTTGGGGTGCAATAGGGTCCAAGGGAATACTCACCATGGAGGGTGCTACCGACAAATGTTGTCGTAGACGTTCCTCCATCTCGGCTATTCGTTGGTTTCTTACGTCGTCGGACTGCTTGAATTGTGCCAACAGTTCCCGCTGTTCCCTTTTCTCCTGCTCTCGCTCCTCCCTTGCGATTCTCAGCTGTCGTTCCGCCTCCAGCAGTTGGTTCTGGGTAACTCGATAGTTGCGGTCCAGAACCTCGTGGTCAGCGACTCGTGCGACTTCCTATTCTTGTCGAACATTTGCGACGAGCTCAAAGAGCGATTCGAGATGTTGCTTCTGGGCGATGGCTTCTAGTCGTACTTTCTTGTCCAGAATTTGCCCACTTCCTTGGACTTGTTCCTGGAGGTTTTGTAGCTGCTGCCAAACGGCCTGTCCAGCTGTACCAAGATACCTCATTTGTGCCTCATGGGTATCCAAAAACTCCTGCATGGACCTCGTAAACTGGGCTTGAGCAGAGCGTTTACTCGTTGACCTAGTTTGTGTAGAGGGTCCTCCCTGGAGTAGGGGGTCGGGGCTAACAGCCCCAGATAGTACCATAGCATCCTCTGCGGCCTCGTCTGTTACGGCCGAGGTGTCTACGAAATAATCCCTTCGGCCAGCCATTGTGGTAAGGGATAATGATGATAGTTCTTCCTTTTTGAGGTGACTTCGTTACTCCAAGTGAACTTGTGAGTAACAATATACTGTGAGGGATGCGTACCAGACCACAAGAGTACACTACGCAGAGCTCAGAGTTCGGCTAACAGCTACAAAGGTAGAAGTCTCCAAGGTCTCTTCAGTCAACGTCGAGTATGATTCTCCTCGATCCGATACGGGCCCCGCGAGCTACGTTATCAACAAAGATTCACTAGAGTTAGCGTTTGATGTTCGACCGTCTTCGACGTAATAGTTCAGGTAGAGTTCGAAGTCACGATAGAGTAAAGTAATTCCAAAGTATAGTCAAATAAAGTTGTAACTCGCGTATCAACGATTTATATTGTTAAGACTCTGATTTCGCCGATGATGGTTTGGCTAGTCAGTGAATGACACAGTATTTATATCCCTCGCTTATGTCTCGAGGACCCAGTCTTCTAATAATACAGCATACACTCGGGTCCTGCCCGAGACCCTGAAAAACAACCAAGAACATTTAACTCCTAAGTCCGTAACCCAAACTCCTAAAGCCGCTAAAACCCCTCAACCTTTTTATCCACTCTGATGCACGTTTCCCTGTCGATGTTTCTTCCCCATCGGCCGTCTGGTGGATAATCGTCAGCGTCGGCTATTCGGAGGTCTCGGACGGCAAGGCTACCTACTCAGGCCTCTTCCCACATCGCTTTCCCACATAGCAGAGTCCTCTCATGCCCACAGGTACCGCCGACAGGTACTTGGTCGGCTGGCAGCTTGCGCCGATTCGCTCCGAGCGGTCCGATCTTCGATCCGATTGATTCCAGCTGTCCCTCATATATCCACCGGTACCAAAACACTCCTCTCCGGCGGTTTGACGCTCCGGGGGTTATTATTGGGGTCGAAAACGTGTTTTTTATGACTCTGGGTATTTGGTCGTAATTTGGTCGCACCACACTCCGCGAGTGTGGTCAAGAGTTGATATTAGCGTACAGAGGGTATTGGGGTATCTACTAGCCTTTCTCTCACTCCCGTAAATACTTGGCATGCCCGTAACACAAGGGCTGCTAGCCCAGACCCCTGTTACGAACTATATGGCTATATCAAGTGTAGGAGTTATTAGGAATTCTGGAAGGTTCCATGGGATTAGTAATCGGTTGTTATCTTTTTACTATATAGAGTTGCTCGGGTCTTCTGTTGTGTTTTCTTCTCTTTCCTTACGCAACATCTTGTATTCTACTGTGGGTTATTACTTTGGGGATTCTCCTCGCTTCAATACATTACTTTTACTCTCAGTCCTCGTTACGTCTGCTGTCCCTTATGCCCGGCGTGCTCGCTGTTATGATCTTCGCCGCCTCTCTATTCCTCGCCTCGTTCTGGTCGGTTAACATGCCGACCGCCGTTATCTCCGTCCTCGTACGGACCCTTACCTCTGTCCTCGTACAGACCTTCGTCGCTGTCCTCTCCTCTGTCCGCGTACCGACCTCTGTCCCTGCCTTCGGGTACACCACTGCGTCGTCCCTCGCCCTTGCGCGAGGCCTGTCCCTTCCCTCGGGGAACCTAACCATGTCCCTCGACCCCTCAGCTTATACCTCGCCCATGGTTCCTTACAACCCCCTACTTACGGGCGGACCCTCCACACAAACTAGGCAATCGAAAAAACGCTCTGCTCAAGATCAGTTCGTGAGGAACTGTAACGGCAGCTACGTATTTTGGCTAGGTGATGAACTGGGATGAGGGAAGGAGGTATCGTGCAGTGGAATTAGGATTTGTAATGGGGATTTCTGTTATGTTCTTTGGGTTTCTGTTACGCGAAGGTATTAGTCATCGTTGGATTATGGATGGATATATAAGGGGGTGTTGTCTCGTGCTTTTGTCTGTTTTCCTTCTTCTCTTTCTTCCTTATGTAACCTCTGTATTTTATTCCACGAATATTATTCTTTGTTCGCACTACATCATAGGGCTTCAACCGGTTTATCATACCAGGTAGAGCCACCCATAGTCCATAGTCAAAGTATATCTTTACGTCTACGTCCACGTCTACGTTACTACCTAGGTTGTATTCCTTGGCACCACAGTCTATCGCCTATAGTCCCCGTGATAGGAACATGCAGGAGTTTTTGGATACCCATGAGGCGCAAATGAGGTATCTTGGCTCAGCTGGACAGGCCGTTTGGCAGCAGCTACAAAACCTCCAGGAACAAGTCCAAGGGAGTGGACAAATCCTGGATAAGAAGGTACGGCAAGAAGCCATTGCCCAAAAACAACATCTCGAATCGCTCTTTGAGCTCGTCACCAATGTCCAACAAATGCATGAAGCCGCAGGAGCCGCCGACCACGAGGTTCTGGATCGCAATCATCGGATTACCCAGAACCAACTGTTGGAGGCGGAGCGACAACTGAGGATGGCACGAGAAGAGCGGGAGCAGGAGAAAGGGGAACAACGGGCTATGTTTGCGCAATTCAAGCAGTCCGATGAGATAAGAAACCAACGGATAGCCGAGATGGAGGAACTACTGCGGCAATATCTGTCAGTAGCACCTTCCGTGGCTAGTGCTCCCTTAGATCCTAATTGTAACGGAGCCATTTCAACTGTCTGGTGTATGAGTACACACAGGGCCCGGTTACATGCTGAGAGTTATTGTTAGAAGCCAGTTGCACGGTGATATGCAAGTACCGGCAGTGTGGTTAGCTACCAGCTGTTAGAGTAACTACATTCCGGGCGCTAGGAAGGGGATCTATTCATGGGAGCAATGACTGACGAGTCTATGCCTCGCCAGTGTCTAGAAGACCGGCCAGAGTGAAGCTCTGATTGTCCGGTGATCCACTATATCCTCTGAGCATTGTAAGTCCGCCGAAGGGCAGGGACTATGCTAGGGAAGTCTACAATAAGAGAAAGCTCTACAGCAATGATTAAGCTTACACCTGAGCGGCAGCTCATTCATGCAGGTCCTCGGTTGTGTGGCAACCAAGGCTGCAGGTGTTACAAAGGCTTTGACTAAGGGTGGTTGCCTTGGGTATCGGAAGCACCTGCTGACGCTTAGAGAAAAGCGGGGTAGCGGTGGTATTGTTTCCGGTACTGAGGGAAGGCCCACCGGAACTTAGTAAAGGAGTTAGGAGCAGAGAATAGAGGCCTTCGGAGTATAAGTACTCAGGTTCATTCTCGCCTTTGAGTCCGGTTCTCTCAAGTCTTCATCAGAAAGAAAACCAAGTTCTTATCGGTAGCAGAGCCCTTAAAGATTATTGAGTTCTAGCGATAGTATCTTTGAATAATCTGCAACCTGATTGTCTATCTTGCACGGCCGTCTCTATTCTATCTTATTTTATTTCTCTTAGAAGAGACCCCCGTTACACTAATGCACCCCGAACGGTTCCTGTTGGCAATGGCAAGAACCCCCAAAATGCTGGCCCTCAAACATCAGGGAATGGCAAGCAACCAGAAGAAGCTGGCCCAGTTGGTGGAAATGGAGGCAAACAACCGGAGGACGCCGGCCCAGTGCAGGGAAACAGTGGCAGGCGACCGGTAGGAGCTGCTCCGGTAGGAGGGAATGGTGGTAATCAACCTCCCCGAAACCCACCAAGAGGAAATGTTGGGGGAGATCCAGAGCCTTCCGACGACGATGACGACGATAACAGTGAATGGTCGCATGGTCGGAAGAATTGGAGAATGAACCGAGGCGGGAACCGGAATTCGGCGCCGCCTGAGGATGAAGATATGGTAGATTCGCTCGCCAAAATACCCTTTGAGTTCGATAATGCCAGAAAGCATAACCTGCGGCATTGGCTCATGGAGTGCGAAATCTACTTCGAGCAGAAACCGAAGAAGTTCCGAACGGACAAAAACAGAGTACTGTTCGCTGGAACGTATACGTGTGGGTTGGCAAAGGAATGGTTTATGGAGTATATCGAGACCAAGATGCTAGGTCCGGCAGCCGCAGACTACGCTACTTGGACTCGGTTCCGTCAGGAGATCAGAAAACGTTTCCTAAGCACTCAGGAAGCTATGCAGAACGCGATGAAGATGCAGCAGTTCAAGTACTCTGCTAACATCGGGGACTATCTGACGAGGATGGAGATCATGAAACAGCATGCTCAGATGAAAGGAGCATCCTATCGCGCCGCCTTGCTCCAAGGGCTACCAAATGAAATCCGGGAGCACCACTCACGCTTCGATCCAACCGAGGACGACTCCGAGTACATCCAACAGTTGGAACGAGCCGGCAAGGCTCACGAGGCTTATCAGGAGCAGATGAAAATGTTGGGGAAAGCAGAGTCGAGAGGAAAGGAGTCGAACCATGGTGGGAACTCGCGGCAGAAGGAAAAGGGGTTTAAGATCAAGGGGAGGGCTCAGACTGAGGAGAAAGAAAAGGGGCAAGATAAGAAGAGCACCAGCAAGAATAAGTCGGGGAATAAGCCAATATACCACGACTACCATGAAGCCACCAAAGGAGTTCCACCCCCGGTCCGAGACCAGCGAAAGACCGATGGTGTCTGTGTGCGATGTGGCCGAAAGGGTCATCTTTGGAAATGGTGTCGGTCAGATGCTAACAGCAGTGCATCTATCTCCTCTTTCTCCCGAAAGCGTACCCGCGACGACGATGGCGACCACGATATGGAACCACCGGAACCCCAACCTCAGAGAAAGCGAATGAGGCACCGTGCTAGGAAGCCGGCTGCGACGGCTGCTGCGGAGTACACCAGTGGGCAAGCGTTTGTGCGAGAACGCGGATCGGAATCTGAGATGGATTTCGACGAGGATTTTTAAAAGGGGACTCTGATGAGTCAGGTCAGGAGTATCCCCAGATTGCTATGTTATCACTGACAGAAAACAACAAAAAAAATATGAAAAGAAAAAGGCAGGAAGGGAGAGCGTCCCAACCGGAGAAAAAACAGAAAATTTTGGATGAACCAATTCAGGTCCTCGACCTATCGTTAATCAGTTCCTTTGTTTTGCGGAGAAATGTTTACCTTGTAAGGTGTTGTTGGATACTGGTCCAACTGGTCCTGTTTTGTCTGCTGTTTTTGTTGATAGTTTTGAGGTCCCGAAGGTGAAACGAGACGTCCCGGCCCGGGTATTTGGATTTACGGGAGAGGTTATGAAGGGCACGGGACACGCCTTTATACAACCATTAATTATAATGTCAAAGGGGCATCAAACGCAACTATCATTCGAGATCGCCCCTCTTCTGTCTGGCATCGATGCAATATTACCAAACTGGTGGTTGAAAGAACATAAGCCGGTTATAGGGGCAAATGGGGAAGTTTCCTACGATGGCAGGAACTGCAAGAGTCGATGCTTCACTGACAAGGAACCACAAATAGAAATGGACGAGGTGTAACAGGGGTCCTTTCTAAGAGAAATAGATTTGTATAGAATAGAGACGGCCATGCAAGATAGACAATCAGGTTGCAGATTATTCAAAGATACTATCGCTAGAACTCAATAATCTTTAAGGGCTCTGCTACCGATAATCACTTGGTTTTTCTTTTTGATGAAGACTCGAGAGAATAGGACTGAAGGGCGAGAATGAACCTGAGTACTTATACTCCGAAGGCCTCTATTCTCTGCTCCTTACTCCTTACTAAGTTCCGGTGGGCCTTCCCTCAGTACCGGAAACAATACCACCGCTACCCCGCTTTTCTCTAAGCGTCAGCAGGTGTTTCCGATACCCAAGGCAACCACCCTTAGTCAAAGCCTTTGTAACACCTGCAGCCTTGGTTGCCACACAACCGAGGACCTGCATGAATGAGCTGCTGCTCAGGTGTAAGCTTAATGATTGCTGTAGAGCTTTCGCTTATTGTAGACTTCCCTAGCATAGTCCCTGCCGCTTCAGCGGACAAACAATGCTCCGAGGATACAGAGGATCACCGGGCAATCAGAGCTTCTCTCTGGCCGGTCTTCTAGTCACTGGCGAGGCATAGACTCATCAGTCATTGCTCCCATGAATAGATCCTCTTCCTAGCACCCGGAATGTAGTTACTCTAACAGCTGGTAGCTAACCACACTGCCGGTACTTGCATATCACCGTGCAACTGGCTTCTAACAATAACTCTCAGCATGTAACCGGGCCCTGTGTGTACTCATACACCAGACAGTTGAAATGGCTCCGTTACACCACTCCCCTCTTCCAGGATCTTGGTCTCCGAGATCTATAACCATTCTATTACCATTCATTCTATATGACAAGAAACTCCGTGATATGCAAGGAAATGAAAACCCAAAAGGAAATAATCTACACCCCAACAATCCGCTTGTCTTTGGGTTTCTTAGGATACCTCATATGAAAATCCCGAAGGGCTTCTTCAGCACTCTTCTTGAGATGCTCCCAAGGTTCCCATGTAGCATCCTCGTTTTCATAAGCTTCCCACAGCACTAGGTATTCCACTCGTCTCCTTTTCTTATTGATCCGGCTATCAGATACCTCTCGGACAACCCAGTTCTGTTCTCCTTCACTCTCTTCCGGCTCCGGTACAGGAACTCTTCTCTCAGGATCTACCGGTGCTCGGTAAGGTTCCAGAAGAGAGACATGAAAGACCGGGTGGATTCCCATTTGGGGGGGAAGAGAGAGCTTGTAGGCATGGGTACCAATAGCTTCTAAGACCTTAAAGGGTCCCATCTTCTTCTGATCCAGTTTTCCCAAAGGCCGCTTTGTTTGCACATTGCGCCGGTCCAACATAACTTCATCTCCGGGCTTGATTTCAGGCGGTGCCAGGGCATGAGCATCATACCACCGGGCCATCCTTAATCTAGCTTTACCCAAGCTGGCATTCATAGCCTGCCAGATAGATTCCCATTGAGATACCATGACCTCTGTAACGGAGCCATTTCAACTGTCTGGTGTATGAGTACACACAGGGCCCGGTTACATGCTGAGAGTTATTGTTAGAAGCCAGTTGCACGGTGATATGCAAGTACCGGCAGTGTGGTTAGCTACCAGCTGTTAGAGTAACTACATTCCGGGCGCTAGGAAGGGGATCTATTCATGGGAGCAATGACTGACGAGTCTATGTCTCGCCAGTGTCTAGAAGATCGGCCAGAGTGAAGCTCTGATTGCCCGGTGATCCTCTATATCCTCTGAGCATTGTAAGTCCGCCGAAGGGCAGGGACTATGCTAGGGAAGTCTACAATAAGCGAGAGCTCTACAGCAATGATTAAGCTTACACCTGAGCAGCAGCTCATTCATGCAGGTCCTCGGTTGTGTGGCAACCAAGGCTGCAGGTGTTACAAAGGCTTTGACTAAGGGTGGTTGCCTTGGGTATCGGAAACACCTGCTGACGCTTAGAGAAAAGCGGGGTAGCGGTGGTATTGTTTCCGGTACTGAGGGAAGGCCCACCGGAACTTAGAAAAGGAGTTAGGAGCAGAGAATAGAGGCCTTCGGAGTATAAGTACTCAGGTTCATTCTCGCCCTTCAGTCCTGTTCTCTCGAGTCTTCATCAGAAAAAACAAGTTCTTATCGGTAGCAGAGCCCTTAAAGATTATTGAGTTCTAGCGATAGTATCTTTGAATAATCTGCAACCTGATTGTCTATCTTGCACGGCCGTCTCTATTCTATACAAATCTATTTCTCTTAGAAAGGACCCCCGTTACAGATAATCTTTAGGGCTCAAGTCACCTTCAGATTATTCTTCCTCTATACAAAAATGTTCGCCCTCTCGGCTCCAGATGCACCCCTTCAGATTGAATGGCAGCCGGTGCCCCTCCAGCTTGATGCCACCGGGCAGACACAGCTTGTCAAAAAGCCCAGGACCGCTCTACAGACCTACATTCCCGGCTGTGAGCCTGCCTGGCAGGATACCGACGAGATTTCTGTCCAACAGTTCTTCACAGAGCTCCAGACCTACCTCCAGCACAGCCTGCAGAATCAGTTGACCCGGGGCAGTCAGGCCCTACTCGTTGTACAAGAGCGCCAGGCAGCACAGAATGCTCTGATGGCAGAAGCTCTTGAGTACATGAGGATGGAGGTCAACTCTGTTCAGGAAGAACTTCGGAAGTATGTGGAGAGAGATGAACTAAATAACGATGCCATGGAGATTGAGTGGACAAACCCGGCTACTCCACCAGACTTTGTGGCCGAGATACAGAGAGCCCTTGATGAAGGAAGACTGGTGGTGGGTAGACCAGCAACTCCAGCACCAAATCCTGTCTCCAGATCCTCTTCCAGAGCAGCTACCAGGACAATGCAGCGGAAGACTAGCCCCTTTGCAGCATTCCCAGTCCGATCCACTAGGAGAGTTATCCCTATAGTGCAGCCAGCGGTGGGGGCTTCACCTTTACCACCTAGCCGCTTCGGTGGAACACATCCACTCCTTGGAGGAGCTGACCGATCCTTTGACTATGAAGGAGAGTTCTTCTCAGGTGCAGGCCGTGGACCTCCCAGCCCACTAGCCAGGAACCCAGGAAGGTTCACCATGTCTGGGGGCGCGCAACCAGCAGCAACTTCACCACTGGCTAGCAACCCGGCACCAGTAGCACCTGTAGCCCCTCCTGCTCAGGCCGCCGCTCCCCCTCCAGCTCAGGCACAGGGAGGAAGCGGTGGGAATCAGAACCCTCCACCTCCCGCGGCCCAAGCTCCTGCTCCTGGAGACTCAGACAGTTCAGACTCGGAACCAGAAGGTGGGGATAGAAGAGCCTGGCGGAGATATTTTAAGAAGAAGTTGGAAAAGCAGCAGAAGGATCTGTTGGCTATGATGTCCCAGCAGTTCCGACCTCCGGCCGCCTTTCCCCCTTCTACTTCCACCAGGGCTCGAGAACCAAAGGCACCACCACCTTCCAAGTTCCAGGGCAAGGCGGAGCAAGTGGAGACCTTTATCCGGCAATGTGAGAATGTGTTCTCCATTGAGAGCCTGTCCTTTACCTCTGAGGAGGTTAAGATCCGATATGCAGGCAACTTGATGGAAGGTGAGGCAGCGATCCGATGGTATGAGGCATACCACAATTCAATTGATCAAGCCTCCGCCAACCGCCTTGCCGGGATGTCAGTGCAGTTGGATCAGAGATGGAAGCGCTGGGATTCCTTTGTGGATGCTTTTAGAGCTGCCTTCGGTGAAGCCATCTCTAGAGATGATGCTGTAGCCCAATGGAATACCCTCACCCACACAGCTCGAGGAGGAATAGACCTCTTCCTGAATACTATCATTCAGCTGATGTGGAAGACTGGCTATGAGGGTCAGTTGGTGGATGATAAGATTCATAATTCCCTCCTCCCGGACCTAGGCATGAGTTGGGCTCTTTTTAATCCCAAGCCAAAGTCCTTGATGGAGCGGATAGCTGCTCTAAGAGAGTTAGGGCACACCCATGAGAGGTACCAAGGGATGGCAGCTGAGAAAGCGCACCCTCGGACCAAGAAGGAGCCTCCTGCTCAGAAGGACCAGCAGCCTAAGAGGAAAAGAGAAGCTGCGAGCTCCTCCGGACCTCAGAAGACTCCTGGACCTAAAGATAAAGCGGTGGAACTGAAGGGTATCCCGGGGGATATTCTAGAAGAAAGAAGGAAAGCAGAAGTATGCTTGAAGGTATGACCTTCCGGTACTCCCTATTGGTAGAGTGCATAGACTGACTTGTGCAATAGTGCGGCAAGTCCAGACACAAATGGACCGATTGTTGGTCCAAGGAACCTACTGTTGTCCGAGTGGCAGCAGTGAGAGTACAAAAGCGGAAGAGAGGGAATGGCAAGTCCAACTCTCAGAAGAAGGCTAAAGTGGCTGCTGTAGTAGCAGAGGATCCACTTGTTGTACTCCCGGAGGTTACAGAAGATTTTGTTTTACAGCCTGAGCAAGACTCGGACAATGAAATCCTCTGGTAGAAAGGTGTCTGTTGAGTCTATGTTTACTAGTTTTCTTTTATATGGGTTTTCGGTTTCTATGTTTCTCTTGAATAAATTATGATTGTGTTTTCCGCCTATTTGATTGCTGCAAGCACTCTGAGGATGGGTTTAAGACCCGAAACAGCTGGTCTGTCAGTGCTCTACCAAAGTTATATTTGCTACAAGACACTTCCAAACCGCTACTAAAAAATTACCACACATCATACCCGCTATATTACCGCTTGGGAATAGAACCAAAGGATCTTTGATCTTAGTAGTGCCCGAAGCTATTAGCTATGTTGAAAAGACAAAGAGAAACGAGTCCAGAATCCGCTGTTAAGCAAAGAAGGTTGGAACAGAGGATTCCTTCCTTACCAGTACATGGAAAAAGACCTATACTGAAGGCAGGACTGTCATGGACAGTCAAAGGAAAGGATGAAGGCGCCCAAGGGTCATTCCTGTTTGACACCGGTTGTACAGGAGCAATCCTCAACCAGAGTTTTGTCAGGAAGCATGGAATTCCCTTAGTGCGGCGGGAT